TCCATTACATCTGTGGTGCAGTTGTAGGCGGTACGGCTTGGGAAGTTTCCTTGAATACCTCGATGTGCATTTTCTTGACCAAATCCCCGAGTAATAGCGACATTAGCACAAGTACCCGCCTCAGTGGGATGCGATGATTTAGTTACCCACTGATGCAGTGAGTCATGATTGGTAGTGCTTCAGAATGAGTTGGAAGTTATTCACACCAGACCGGTCGGTATCATAAGTCAACCAACAATCTAGATTGTTCTGGGCCGGAAGCCGGGTGCTTATCGTGGGGCTGAAGATCGCCCATCTCGAGCACTCCGGCTGCCGTGGCTGCCTTGTCGCAGTCTTACAGACTACGGACTTTAAATGAGCGTCTCAATCATTCGTCGGCCTAAGTCTGGATGCCATGACTTTCCAGGCGAAATCCAACATTGTTTCCTACCGACTGCAGTGCAATCTTAAGTGTTCCTCCATATGCATTGCACCAAGCAGAGCAGGTAAGTAAATAAAACTGGTTCTAAATCCCCCTATCAACTAGCGATTTTTCTTACAGTCCACCACATCCTATTCAATAATTCACCTCGTATCACCCCCAGTCTAAAGAACGGTAAATGAAGTTTCACTGGAGCCCAATTCTCCTGACCTGTGTCATCATGATGTCCAATGGTGTGCTACCACCGGAAACCCAGTATCTACCCACGTTGCTCAGATTCGTTGGTGACATTTAACTTTCATATTATGAGGAAAGGTCAGAAAGCCATGTTTTTCATGTGCACAAGTTAATCCTGGTGTTAGTATGTGAGGGCCGTGCTCACACTAACCTCAACAATCCTATCTCTTCCTTCTTAAACGTACGTAAACGGCGATCCTGATGTACCATCATACATACGACAAGACTGATCATTGTGCACATGTCTAGAGGTAAATCCCCATCGGCTGGGTGAACTATCGTGAATGGTTTCCTACGTGCAGCCCATTTGCTAAGATCAATTGAGAACATGTGGGTAGCCCTAAGCATAAGTTGTTCGTAGTTGCTACTCGTAGACGGCTAGCACGGAGCATCGCCCGACCTGCAGGGTCGTTGTGTGAAGTGGCGTCTAACCGTCTAACCGTGAAAACAGTCTGGTTATCAGCATGGTGAACATAAGCCGCCTTGTTGTACCAGCTTTTAGTAATGCGTTGTAACCACAAACAGAAGTAAGAAACATTACGACTGAAATCATTCTACACTTGCTAATATTATATGAAACAATCTGGTCAACATTAGCAATCAGGGCTACGCCAAAACAGTAGAGTGGCTTAGTGTGGTTAGGAGCTCATTTGATCCCAACTTACATCGTCAATCAAGGTAGAGGCGTGCGAAGCGATCTATGTATTTAATACGCATACAAGTACCTAATTCGGCTCTTTAGGCTTTACAGCTTTTTTTTACAATGGTTAAATTTTTGATACAGAAGACTTACCTCGTTGGTAAGGAGCAATTAGAAGTGACATCCGGGATTTTAAACTGCAATTTTTTCACCTGAAATTGTCAAAACCCACTGCCCACCGCGTATGTGTAATCAGGTAGGAAGGGTCAATCGGGCCGGTAAATTTAACAATAGCGAGCAGTTGCAGTACTGAATATTCCAGTGTCCCAAGCCATGAGCGTCCCGGACTTCGATGTCCTACAGGGTCGTTCCCCAGATGCTAGTGTCGATCGCAATGGGACCTCATAAAAGCGCTAAATTGTCGCAGAACTCGGTCCTTCAGGAACAAACGGTCAATTCGGTAAAGCAAGCCTAGCAAAATTGTCAGCATAACAAGAGTGTAGAGAACTCGAGGTAAATAACTAGGTCAACTCCATAACTTACCACGTTTCTGCATTCCTGAGATTCTTCCTTGGAATCAGTAAACAAACATGCTGCAGAGTAGTCAAATACGAACCAATCAGCTCGTACGCGAAATATGCGTAGGCTTCCAATTAACTGTTCTGTTTGCTTGCGGTAAGTAAGTTGCTTGCTTCGTCATGTAAATCCGTATGGTTTTCTGTTGACATATTCTCATCATATATTTCTATTTTTCGGGATCAGCAGCATCGGTTTCGATGAAGATTGTGTACGCACATCCGCTCCAAGTGCTGATTGCTGCCTCTGTCTTTGTGAGCTCTCCGTAAGTCGTCATGTTCTTTACAGTTGGTCTATCTTTTCGTTCCTCATGTTGTCTCAGCTGCAATCCGTCCCTTATGATTTCCTTTCCTCTGGTGCTGACTTCATAAAAAACTTTCTCCGACCTTCCTGGTTACTACCTCTTTCTTCCTTCGTTTGCTGATACCCGGAAATGGTTAGATCCATATATGTCATCTACCGATAGCTCCGGTAGCGTCTGGATCCTGCGGTCATAATACCATTTCTGATATGCCATTAGTTTTCTTAAGACCCTGTAGTTGCTCATGCGATGGCAACAGACGCAGACATTGGGATTCTTGTCCTCATACTGTACAAAGGTTGCACTGGACTGAAACTGATGTTCGGTAATGCCGTGTTGCGATTCTCCAACAGCATTAGATGCGGATCCTTTGACAAGAGCCGCTTGGCTTAGTTGACTGTTTCAACTTTTCCATT